GAAACATTTCATCAAACAGCAATATTCTCCAAACGTCTCCCTCCCACTTCCTTGTTACTATCGTAAAATTATTCCATGTTTCCTAAAACTTCTGCCTTCTCTGAAACCAACAGCCTGGGGCAAGTTTTGTAGCAAACAGCATTCTGTGCAGTCAGATTTAGCAACCGACACCAGACTCAGTCACAGAAAACATACTTTCCTCACTTTTTCACCACGAAAGCTTTGTGGCAGATGATTCAAAATCTAGAAAGTGTGTGTGTGTAACATCGATCTGCAGTTGATCCTGTTATAAATGCAACTGGTAATTATAGTAATTTATTAGACATTTATACCAAGGTTTTGAGAAGGACTGAACCATAGGACTTTAGATCTGGGAGAGACCTCTGAGATCATCCAGTTGAATTCTCTCAGTGATAGCAACAAACATTTATTCCTGGGAGAGACCTCTGAGATCAGTTGAATTCTCTCAGTGATAGCAACAAACATTTATTGAGACTTTCTCTGTGAGATGAATACAAGGGCAAATACAGAAATGAATAAACTCGGTGTCTGCCCTCAGAGTTCACAGTCAAAGCTGGGGACTGTTTGGGGTTTTAGTAGGAGGGAGGGGAAGAGAGAGACCTGGAGTAACTTAGCCTGTTTAAGAAATCAGGAAGGCCCTAGCTGGTTTGGCTCATTGGATAGAGCAATGGCCCTCAGACTAAAAGGTCTCGGATTCAATTTGGTCAAGGGCACATGCCCGAGTTGCGGGCTTGATCCGCAGTAGAGGGCGTGCTGGAGGCAGCCGGTTAACACATTGTATGTGGGTAGTTTTTATGGCGCGCTAACAGGTGGCGCGTGGCGCGGGCCATTTTTGCTAATTTTTTGCGCAAATGGCAACGTTCAGTAAAATTACGATAACTTTAGTTTACGTATTTATATGTTACCCACATTCTACCGCTAGTCTATAAAAAAAAAACGTATTAATATGTGTCCTGCGCTCTACTTAACTACCAGTCAACGTAAAACGTATACATACGTTTCCCGCATACAATGATTCTCTCTCATCATTGATGTTTCTATCTCTCTCTCCCTCTCCCTTCCTCCCTGAAATCAATATATTAAAAAATAAAAAAATAAAAGAAATCAGGAAGGCTTGTCAGAGGAGGTGACATTGGAGCTGCATTTGAAAGAAGGAATAGGAGTTGCCAAGCAGGCGGGGATGAGGAAACAGGTGCAGAAAGATGAAGTGACATGGTCAAGGCCCCACAGCCATTTAGAAGCAGAACAAGACCCGAGGCCCGGCCTCCCGCCTCTGTACTGTACTCCTGTGATACCGCAGGTGAAGCCCACCCTCCAGTAGCTAAAAGTGAAAATAATCTTGCCTTAAACTTTACCCAGAATCCTTATTTTTAAAAGAATATTCAAAATGAAACTTTCTAAGCCATTCTCTCTCTCTCTCTCTCTCTCTCTCTCTCTCTCTCTCTCAAGTGTTTAGGAAGCCACTTATAAAGTAAAGGTATTAGGAAGATGGATTTTTCCAGGCAAAGCAAGTGAGAGCAGAATTACCTGGGGCCGTGGCTTGTGAGCCTCGCTCTGCAGGGACCCAACCACTTTGCCCTGAAACGAGAACTTATGCTGGGTTAGACCCTCTTGTTCTTACCTGTTAGTGTAAAACTGCTCGTGTTAGCAGAGGAACAACATGGAGCAACTGGAATTTCCTGCCAACTCATGAAAGGAACCACACATATGAACCCTATTTCCAAACTTTTAAAGTAGCTTCCAAGTTGATAGTGGCCGACAATTGGGAAAGACCTTTCTGGGAAGTGCACCATGCGATGAGTTTCTCCCCATCTCCCTGTCTTTTCCCTTCTCTATCCATATCCACGCCATTCTTCACGCCCACCTCCTCTGAGAAGCCTTCCCCTCTGCTGGTTTTGCCCCAGATAAGCTGTCCCCATAAGTTGGCCCTGTAATCATCTATGTCCATGGGCCATAGTGCTTTGCTGCAGTTAAGGCTCAATGCCCTTGTATGGATGCCTTGTCTGCACAGTTGCTCTCAATTTCAGACGCACAGAATTTTAGAACAGGAAGCAGTCCTAGGGGTCACCTCTGCCCTCACCTTGATTTCACATATGAGGAAGGTGAGATGGGCTGGAAGTTGCTTTAGGTCACCCAGCATGGTGCCAGAAGAATGGACCCCAGGCCAGGTTTCCTCACCTCCACGCGGAGCCGCTTCACGTCCAGTGTCATCTCATGCCCCCAGTGAGGCTGCAAATGTCCAGTGGGCAAGACTCGTCTTCTGTGGTAGCATCTCATCTACCAGAGGCCTTCACCTTGGCTTCAAGACTTAGTTGTGAGCTGAGACGTGGTTGAATCCTTAACTCTGCCCACCTTTCCTCTACTTTCAACTCTGAGTGCAGACTCACTCTGAGGCCTGGTGAGTCACTGCCCTTCTTCGGCTCCGTTTCCTTCTCTATTAAATGAAAGCTTTGGGCTAGATCAGTGGTTCTCAACCTTCTGGCCCTTTAAATACAGTTCCTCATGTTGTGACCCAACCATAAAATTATTTTCGTTGCTACTTCATAACTGTAATGTTGCTACTGTTATGGATCATAATGTAAATATCTGATATGCAGGATGGTCTTAGGTGACCCCTGTGAAAGGGTCGTTCGACCGCCAAAGGGGTCTCGACCCACAGGTTGAGAACCGCTGGGCTAGATGGTCTCTTGGATCCCTTTAAGTTCTAAAAGTTCTAGAATTCTGTACCTTTCAGCTGAGTCCTTTGGTGTCTTCAGGATTGGCCTCTCTGTCCCCCAGATCTGCCACCTCACTCATTCTTCTGGCTTGCTATGGAGTGAATTTCTTTAAGGCCCAGAGAGCATAATAGTATTGAAGAAGACCAGGCTTGGCGTCCTAAGGCCTGAGTTTGAATCTTGCCTCCATGCCATTGTATCTGTGTGGCCTTCAGCAAGTCACTTCATCTCCTAGCCACCTTAAATTTAAAAAAAAAAAAGGGAATAACGATACATGCTTTTGGATTTGGTGACAGTGAAATGAGAAAAACTTTGTGGAAATACATGGCACAAAGAAGATAGTCACATATAGTGACTTCTCTCCTTTGTTCCACACCCAGCATTTGGGAAGAGGGCAGTTCCGCATGCATAGATTTTCTAGCTAGTGGCTGTACTAACTGGAGCTACACAACATTGACTACTTTTTTACTAAAACCTTTCTGAAATGAATTTGATATTTCCTGACATGTCACTCAGACAGTCCCAAAGTATAAGGGAGAATTAGAGAAAGGAACATCTTTCAAGAGGGGCATCATAGCAGATGGTAAGCAAAATAGGCCAGTCAGAGAGAGACAACTATCACATGATCTCACTTATATGTGGAATCTAATGAACAAAATAAACTGGCCAACAACATAAGGAATGCAGGGGGCAAAGGGACTATGAAAGGAAACTCCTATGCCTTTTTTTAAGTGTATTTTTTATTGTTGACATTATTATGGATGTCCCCTATTTTCTCCACATTTCCTCCTCTCCGCCCCACCCCCATCCCCCAGCCATCACCACACTGTTGTCTGTGTCCATGGGCAGAGCATATATGCATATAAGTTCTTTGGTTAACTTTGGTTAATCTCTTCCCATCCCACCACCCTTCCCCACCTTCCCTCTGGGATTTGTCAGTCTTTTCCATGTTTCCATGCCTCTGGGCCTTATTTTGTTGGTCAGTTTATTTTGTTCATTAGATTCCACATATGAGTGAGGTCGCGTGATACTTGTCTTTCTCTGACTGGCTTATGTTGCTTAACGTAATACTCTCCAGGTCCTTCTGTGTTATCTCAAAGGGTAAGAGATCCTTCTTTTTTTACAGCTGCATAGTATTCCATGGTGGGAATGTACCACAGCTTTCTTATGCACACTTGGGTTGTTTCCAGATCTATGCCTTTTAAAGGAGCTTGGATATTTTCATTTCTCCCCCATTGAATGGTTTTAAGTAGGAGAATGTTTCAGAGACATCATTACTCAGGCTGCTGGGTGGTGAATGAATCAGCGAAGGGGGAGGAGGGAAGGGGAAGCTGGCCATGCAGCTGTTGGTTAGCTGGTGTGGAGGGAACCAGACTAAGGCTTGAAAAATCAGAGGTGGGAAAAGATAGGTTTACAAATGCTCAGTAGCTTTACAAACCAGATTCCTGGAATATCAGCTCATTGTGAAAAAAATAAAACACTGGAAAGTGTAAAGACCACAAGAATCACCCAATAACCAAGCATCCAAAGATAGCCCTGCTAACAGGTTGAACTATTTTTTTCACTAATGTTTTTTGCAAAAAGTTTCTAATGTATTTGTAGATACAAATTTGATTTATAAAAAAAATAGTTCAGGCAGACATTTTCCAGCACACATCTCTTAATGTCAGTTGAGATATATCTCAGTAAAAGTAATGTAAGGTTGTTTGTTTGTTTGTTAATCCTCACCCAAAGATACTTTTCCATTCATTTTTAGAGAGAGTGGAAAGGAGGGGTGGGACAGAAACATCAGTGAGAGAGAGAGAGACACATCGATTGGTTGCTTTCCGCACACACCCTGACCGGGACCCGATTTAACCTGCAACCCAGGTATGTGCACTTGACCAGGAATTAAGCCCGAGACCCATTGGTGCTTTGGCTGACGCTCTAACCACTGAGTACACTGGCCAAGGCTATATCTATAAAAATAAAAGCGTAATATGCTAATTAGACCAGACAACCTTCCAGACAAAGCCAGTGGCCGAAGGGAAGCCCGGGTCCCAGGTGCCGGAGGGAAGCTGGTGCCGGCAGCCAGGGGAAGGAAGGCCTACTCTTGCACGAATTTTGGCATTGGGCCTCTAGTAACATATAATTCTTAACTTCATTGGTTGCTTTCAGTGACTGGGCAAGAAGAGCTCGAATGTGTTAACCTGAGGCTTGATTCCTGGGCCTTCTGTTTGGGGAAGAAGTTTCTGTTTTCAGCTCTCCTTCTCGTTTCTCCCCCAGAATCGGTGGATAACTGCCCCAGCAACTGCTACGGCAATGGGGACTGCATCTCTGGGACCTGCCACTGCTTCCTGGGCTTCCTGGGCCCCGACTGCGGCAGAGGTGAGAGCCCCGGTGTGGACCTGCGATTTCCACTCCCCATGCCCCGTGGGAGCTCAGGTCCCACTCCTCAGAGCCAGTGCAGAACTCCAGGCCACTCTTTTTTTAAAATATATATATATATATTGATTTCAGAGAGGAAAGGAGGAGAGAGAGAGAAACATACATGATGAAAGAGAATTATTGATTAGCTGCCTCCTGCACACACCCCCCCCCCACACACACACACACTAGGGGTAGAGCCTGCAACCCAAGCATGTGCCTTTGACCGGAATCCAACCGGAGATCCTTCAGTCCGCAGGCCAACACTCTACCCACTGAGCCAAACCAGGTAGGGCTCCAGGCCACTCTTGACTCTCGAGAGAAGGGCTCCCAAGGGCCATCCTTCAGAAACCCTGTGAGGGAGGTCTTCAGGCCACTTGACCCACAGGTGCATGACCAGGAGGTCAGGAAGGAAGGGGCAGCCGCAGTTAACCTCATGTCCCCTTGTGGGGGCAGAAGGAGTGGCATGGGGGTCCTTAAAAAGCTGATTTCCCCTTAGAGGAGTGATCAGCCTTTGCCAAGCGTCTTCCACGTTCACCTTCAGCTAGCCTGGTTTCCCCTGGCCCAGAGAAGGGAGGCCTGGTTTCTTGCTCAGTCAATGCCTTCTAACAGCACAGGCAGCATCATGGCTGAGACCACCAAGGACTCGGGAGGTGGGCGAGACTGCTCTCCTCCACACAGGACCCCAGTGTTGTTTCAGATTTGGGCACATAGGGTCTAATGATAACCCCCTGGCGATACTTTCAAGGCTGCCATAGGGTCTAATGATAACCCCCTGGTGATACTTTCAAGGCTGCCATAGGGTCTAATGATAACCCCTTGGCGATAGTTTCAAGGCTGCCATGATCTACCGTTTGCCTTTGGCCTTCATTATTGTCCTGCAAGAATCAACAAGGAAAACACCAAAGGAGATCTGTCATCCTGAGATTTTGGCACGCCCTTTGGGAAAACTCCCTTTGGTTTTTCTCCCTCATCAGTCATCTGCTTTGTGTCCTTTCGGGCTTGGTCCTGTGCTAGACACTGAGCAAGCCCAGGAGTTCTCTGCCTGGGAGACAGACAAAATGGACGATTACAAAGCGGCTAATAGGTGAGAAACACGGTAGGGAGGTCACGTGCAGGGAGTGCCTATCTGAGGGAAAGGGAGCAGCTGTCTCAGCTTGGATGGTGAGGACCAGGAAGGGCTCCCAGGTGAGGTGCTCCTGGAACTGAGACCTGATGCCTGAGTCGTTGCTCATTGGTGGAAGCCAGAGATGGCTCCCCAGGCTGAAAACACAGTGAGGTGGCACTGCTTTGGGGATTCTACTTATTCTTTCTAAGGTGAAATAGACTCAGTTTGAGGCAGCAAAGCCTGCAGCCCCCAGGAAGCACAGTGATTCCCTGCCAAGTGCTTTCTAAAGAAAAGCTGCCAGGTGGGGGCGGGGACAGCGGTGCGAGAGAGAAGGGATGAGTCATCCCTTCTAACGAGAATTACCGTCTCATCCCGTATGCACTTAGAGTGAAGAGCCCTGTATAAAACAGCCTCTTAGTGAAGCTCACTAAGGCTGGTGGGTACTTACAGCACACTGAAATATAATTTATTTTTATATAGTGTTCTTTGTACAGATGTTCACAAAACGCTAAGAGGCAGAATGCAAAGATAATACTTTCAAGAGCTAAGTTGGGCTCAGCTACTCTCTTATGGGGCCATGGTTTATGGGTTTGAGTGGAGGCCTGAAAAGCAAGGAAAACAGAGAGAAAGCTGGGTTAAAGACAACAGTAAGTGTGCTGCAGATGAGGGTGGGGAAGCAAAACGGAGCGCTATTAGGAGAGCGTTGGAGGAGGGATACGGGCAGGCCGGAGACCCAGCTGTCTTTCCCAGGGAGCCCCAGGAACTCACTGGGATCCTGGCAACCACCACGCTGCCCCAGTAATATTGGGGGGTGGGAGGGAGCAGGGTTCACTGGGCACCAGCTCCACCAGGCCGTGCACTGCACACCTTCACCTACAGCTCCAGATGTGTTTAATCGGGAATTAAATAAAACCAGAGAAGCAGACAGATGGGCACACGTGAGAGTTGTGGCAAAGCACTGGAGGCTCTTGGTCAAGCCAGCAGGCGGAGGGGAGAAAGGGACAAAGGCCAGTAGGGGATGCTGGGCTTTGGTTCACACCAGGCTTCCCGTGCTGTCTCCCCAGCCTCCTGCCCCGTGCTCTGTAGTGGGAACGGCCAGTACATGAAGGGCCGGTGTCTGTGCCATAGCGGCTGGAAGGGCGCCGAGTGCGACGTGCCCACCAACCAGTGTATTGATGTGGCCTGCAGCAACCATGGCACCTGCATCATGGGCACCTGCATCTGCAACCCCGGCTACAAGGGCGAGAACTGCGAGGAAGGTAAGACTCGTGCAGGCCGCCCAGCACCTTGCTCAACTTAGAGGGCAGCGCACAGGGCCAAGAGGACATCCGGGCAGCAGAGGAAGCCACCTGAGCCACCCTGTGACCCCCACCCTGAGCCAGGAGCCCATCAGCAATAGTAATGAACCTAAAGAAGAGGAAAGACAAATGCAATCCTACTCAGTGAAGGGCACAGAAGTGTTGCACTGAGTACTTACTGTATCCAGGGCTCTCTGCTGGATGCCTTGCATTATTTAACTGCAAACCCTGGTAGGGAGGGGAAATCATCTTCATTTTATAGTCGAGAACATGGAGACTCTGAGAGTCAAATGGCTTGCCTGAGGTCACATAGCTAGCCAATGGCAGGGCTGGATTTGAGCCCAATCTCTCTGTCTCCATAGCCCAAGTTCTTTCCACTCCCCTTTTAGCTCATTCACTCCCCATTTCTGAAGTATGAGTGTATTTAGACCTCCAAACTCTGCCTTCCATTATCACACTTGTGTGTGTGTGTGTGTGTGTGTGTGTTCATACATGTAGCTCTCAGGTGCTCAAAGGCATGTCTCTCTCCTTCATAAAGTAAATACAGGGTGTCCCCCCAAAATGTGTACACACTTTATTTTTTTAATTAAATCTTTATTGTTCAGATTATTACAGTTGTTCCTCTTTTTTCCCCCCATAGCTCCCCTCCACCCGGTTCCCACCCCACCCTCTGCCCTTATTCCCCCCGCACTGTCCTCATCCACAGGTGTACGATTTTTTTTGTCTCTTCCTGTACCCCCCACACCCCTTTCCGCCTGAGAATTGTCAGTCCACTCCCTTTCTATGCCCCTGATTCTATTATATTCACCAATTTATTCTGTTCATCAGATTATTTATTCACTGGATTTTTAGATTCGCTTGTTGATAGATACGTATTTGTTGTTCATAATTTTTATCTTTATCTTTTTCTTTTTCTTCCTCTTCTTAAAGGATACCTTTCAGCATTTCATATAATACTGGTTTGGTGGTGATGAACTCCTTTAGCTTTTTCTTATCTGTGAAGCTCTTTATCTGACCTTCAATTCTGAATGATAGCTTTGCTGGATAAAGTA